AATATATTTTTATATATAAAAAGTGCTCATAAATCATTCTCATAAACTTAAACTTCTATAACTTTTTTGGTTTCAATTTTTTACAACTTTTTTAACTTCAACAATAATCTGCCAAGGGTCTTCTCTAAAATGAGACCAAACTTATGTCTGTATTCCCAAGCTTCAAATTTTTATGACAGTTTTTGGACATGGACATTTTTTCCTCTATGAACCTATGTGTAACTTTTTTTAATTGACGCACAAGGGTTAAATAAGACCTCCACCTGTCACTCACAAATAACATGCTGGCAGACTGAAGGCTGATAGAACCACCCCTCAATAAAAGGGTACAGTGAGACCATAAAGACTATTTATAATCAAACAAGAGAGGAAGAGAGACATAATTATCCTTCATTCTTGAGGTATCACTCATCTGGTTTATTATTAAAGGGGTCATATATTTTACAAGCTCTTGGTGCATAAAGAAGATCTGTAAAGTTGCAAAGACTAAAGTCTCAAATCCAAAGAGATATTCTTTATAAAAGTTAAGAGTTAACCACGCCTACCTAAAACGGCTCGTTCTAACACGCCCCCACATATCTACGTCGCTCTGTGGGAAGATTTGCATAACGCCACCCAAATGTTCACGCAAAGAAAGAAGGCGTAACTTTTATTCTCGCTGTAGTATTGTTGCCGCTGCCGCCATGTCGTGAAGATGCTGTGTTTCATTGTGAAAGCGAAACTACTTTGTTTGATCTTCCAAAAAAGGACGATATCCGCTTCGTCATGCCTAGAGCTGATCCGTGCTGGTCGCTGAGGAAATACATCAACTTTGCGCTGTGGATCGCCGGATCGGCTTTCACCGTGGACGAAGCAGAGTCCAGCCCGGGGTCGTCACATGTGGTTACCGCAAGCCCGCCGGAAGCTTCTTCGTCGAATCCACCGGCCACACCGTTCTCAAGCCTGCCCGCCTCTGCTCACTCAAGCTCACCCGCCGCCGCTCACTCAAGGCCGCGTGACGCTGTTTCGTTGTGAAAGCGAAACTACTTTGTTTGGCCTTCCAAA